ATGACTATCATAAAATACTTTGAAAGTCGACTAGAGATAGACAAAGAGTTTTCTGTACCATTAAACTGATATTTTTTTGTCTTTTAAACCTACTTACAATGGATTAGAATTGTATATCTCCATCAGCGAATGAGAAACTTGAGAAAGAAAGAAAGAAAGAAAGAAAGAAAGAAAGATGGAGGGTCAGATTAGAAAGAAGCCGAGAATAATGTAGCAGTATAAAGCAGTGATTCACAACCTTTGTTGGGAATATCCTACCGTAGCATCTCAAAAATCCTGATGGCCTTTCACCCTGTGTGACACATAATACTAATTATTAAAAAAGTGAACTATTAATTACCTGGAGGAATTTTAGCTTGGTTCAAACGAGCTTCCAGAAAAATGGCGTCCGTGAAATAAAGAAAAATAATAGAACAAAAGTTTCAAAGTATAACAATTCACCGTTAATAAGTCATTCTCGAATTGACCTCATTTAAATAATCAAATATTGCTCCCTTTATGGAACATGTAGCTCATGTTGTGTAAACCATGAGTTTAAAGAATAATAATGAAGATAAAGAGAAAAAGAGAGAGAGAGAGAGATAATAGTATTGTCGAGTGAACACGAGAGAAAAAGTTACGTTTTTTTAATTCTTTAGTAGTAACTGAAGAAAGAACAGTGTTGTTCTCAGCGAATAACATGATGTTGAAGAAAATAGGTCGAGTCCGACACGCAAGTGAATCTAACTTGCATGAAGACGTTGGAATACTGCACCTAATGTTCTCAGTTTCTTTTTCTCTTTCTCTCTCTTTCTTTACCCTTTCTTTCTCTTTCCATCTATTCTTTCTCTTTCTCTTTCTCTTTCTCTTTCTCTTTTTCTTTCTCTTTCTCTTTCTCTTTCTCTTTTTCTTTTTCTTTCTCTTTCTCTTTCTCTTTCTCTTTCTCTTTCTCTTTCTCTTTCTCTTTCTCTTTCTCTTTCTCTTTTTCTTTCTCTTTCTCTTTCTCTTTCTCTTTTTCTTTTTCTTTCTCTTTCTCTCTTTTCGGAGAGTAAGCTACAAAGTCCATTAGACTCGCGGCCATTGTCGCTTTTACTGGCCGGAAGTCTGTATTGCCATGAGGTAGAGACTTCCGGCAGCAAGCAAGACGACAAGTTTCAGCCTTGACTAAGCGGTACCTTTTGTTCTTCTTACTTCGAGTGGAACGAATGCGCTGCTCTTACAAATATACATTCTTTGAAAATTATGAAAATTTTTTCTTTTTCTCCTTTTTTTTTTAACAAGAATAGATTAGAATTTTTTCAGTTGCTAAGCTTTGCAACAACAAAAATATACATAATTTATGATAGCTTTCAAGTCGTTATAAATGCACGTATATTGACTTAAAAAAATAGGCGACTTAGTTGACATTGGAATTATAAAAACTACTCAAAATGATTGGTTAAAGTTACATGAGTTCTTTTTTCTTTTTTTTTTTTTTTTTGGTATAAAAACATTAATATTTAGTTCTTACGAAATTAATTTCGCTTGTTTTTTTTCCTCAGTAAAAGATCTTTACAATAGTAAGAGTAAATAAAATATGACAAAAATACTAACTCCGATTTACTTTGACTTTTCATTTCTGACGCCGTGGCAGATAAAAACGCAAAGAGATTTTAAATCTTGTCTGAAATGTCTGTTGCTAGAATGTAAAATGATTTAGAGATTTGGAACAAGTTTAGTTTTTAATTTATAAAATTTTTTCTGTGTGTTGCGTCGTGAATTGGGCAAAAAATAAATTGCAAAATAATTCCAAAGTTATCTGACTTATTAATTTATTATTTTTTTCTTATATATATATATAAGATATGCATATATATAAGATATATAAGATGCATTCTAAAATATAGTATATATATTCTAAAAATAATTGTAAGATTATAGCAGAGAGATAGAAAATCCTTCTTTATAACTAACAATAAACACGCGTAAGGGTAGCAAGTTCCATTGTTAAGTGTCATAAAACCTGAATATCATAAAACTGTCACCTGCGTTAACTTAAGAATAACTGATTCTACGTTATACCTTAAGTTGATAAGAAAAATCGAAACGAAGGAGTATCGAAGAAATATTGAAGGATTATTGAAGGACAATCTAACTAACATAATCGAAGAACAAAGCAGTGTAGTAAGGAAGACTAAAAAAGTAGCAGCTAATCTCGTAACAAAAATCAAGCACTACTTCGATCATTTGTTGTTATGGAATAACAGAATAATCGAATATACTATACATTAATTAACAATGATTAGACTCATGTCTGAAAAAGTTTGTGTACACATTAAAGTGCACAATGCAAAAAGTAAATTTATTTTAACGATCGTAAGAATAATAACAGTGCGTAAAATTAAATAACTTTCCGAAAAATCTAATAATTTTTCTTAACAATATTTCCTTTACTGCAAATTGGCATTGAGTAAAATTCAAATAAATACTAATAAAGTTCTGTTTTTTTCTTATATAACTTATTTTATCAATAACCAATTATTCTGAATGTTCTAGCAAAAACAGTTATGCAATAATCGTCGGTAGTGCTAATATTAAATAAAAAAAAGAAAATAAAAAAAATTTTTTTTCTAATTAAATATTATACAGAATAAAAAATGTTCATTAATTCGATGGACTATTAAAGATCACAGATCAAAATTGATGTTTCTTTTATCAATTAAAGTTACAGTTACGATTCCACACTGGTAGGGGAGTTGATAGTGATGGTGAGCTGGCTGAGTTAGAAAGTGGACGCTGTACGTTTACATATATATACAAACACACGTATTTAACTATACAGGACACGTACACATGTACCTATATCATATGTATATACGTAGCAAGACTCGCTGCACCGTATCGCCTCTCGTCAGTAAAGTCTCGGCTCTCGAGGATAGCGGACGAATGTGCCAAGACTTCGTATATTCTTGTATTTTTTTTTTCTTTTTTTTCAGACTTTTTTTTTTAACGGAGTGAAATAAAATTAATTTAATTTAATCGTTTACTTCAACCGAATGTTACATTTCGTTTATGATAAATTTCGTATGTACGATATCGATAAAGTTTCTTACGCGTATCACGTGTTGTAAGTGAACAATTTTTCATATCTTTTATATTATTGTTCTATCAAATAGTTTCGAATTATTTTTATTTTTTATTTTTTAAGAAAAATATAACGAGGAATGAAGAGTTTCGCGATCCAACGGGAAAATAATCGATAAATCGTTATAGTATCATTACTTTTGGAACTCGAATCGATTTATTCTTCGATCTTGACTCTCGAGTGTTAATGACAGATCCCTCGATCACTACTCGAGGTCAACGTTATTTTTCTTTTGGCACTAGTCTAAAGTACGACTATTTCGATCGTCTATTACGGAGTGTGTGTTATACTATCAAGAATTAGACTTATCCCCCGTTTGACGTCACTTACTACCATTATTTTTTTTCTTTTCTCTTCAGCATTAAGATTGTTACAAGAATCTAGAACGTCTCGTATATTATTTAATTGTAATTATTTTATTCGCTACATTTGTAAAATACACGTAGAATGATTTTATAAAACATTAGGGTTCGTTGTTCTTTATTTTATTTTGTTTTCATTCGCACGCAATAAATCTTCCAATACATCCGGCACAAACGAGTTGCCACAATGTTGAAAATAGAATTTCTTAATCATTACGTAATCCTACTTCTTTCATCCTTGATTATAACGCGAATTATAAAAAAAAAAGAAAGAAAAAATTAATAAAATAAAAAAAGAATAACAAATAAAAAACTAAACCTCATATGTCGCAAAGAAAGAAAGACATATACGAAGTATTGTCTTTATTTAACTTATAAATAATTTCAACGTTACTTTTATCTACTACGGATAAATGTAAATTCGCCGAGCAAGCGGAATTATTAAAAGCTTTTGGAATCGATCGACCGCGAAACGGTGAGGGAAGAAGAAAAAAAAGACTAACATAAGAAAGAGAAAGAAAGAAAATAAAAAAAAGAAGTAGAACGTTGGTAGCAGAACTCTCGTTGAAAGCGAAACCCTTCAACGATGGTGATAAAGAGTACGCGTATGTGTATAAACAACACATATGCATGATGACGAACATATGCATATGGGAATCCAAAGAAAAAAAGAGAAAGACTGATAGAACGAAAGAGAAAAAAAATGTATTACATCTATTTGATTCAATTTCGAAGTCGATTATTCATTACATCGATAGAGAGTAAACGTGTTCAGGTTAACTTCGTGAAGTGAAATTTTCCCGAGTGTGAAAGAAGTGGGTCGAGCGCATGTGCGCAAGCAACGAACGACATACACATTTATACACATATAAACATGTATAGAACACATAACACTCTCTGTAAAACGATATGAAAATAGACGCACTTGAGTAACTACTTTAAGATACGTTTGTATATGTTCATACATATTTAAATACATACAATGCAATAATTCGATTCGAGTTTTTATGCTTCAGGGATATTTTCTAAAATTCTGAAGGAATATCATATACAATTCTAATATTCGAAAAGGAAAGAGATTATTATTTGTAGTATTCGATTAATTAATATTTAGAAAACAATTGCCTGAAACGTTGTATCCATTAAACGAGTTCTAAGTATTTGTGTGTGTGGTTTTTTTGAAAGTAATTTTGTTCGTCGGATAGTAAATTATAATAGAATAGAATTCGAATGAAATGGAGAAATAAAATTTCAAACCTTTTGAACCAGAAGGTTACCTATCGGCATCCTTTTGTTAAGAAATGTTTTTAAACAAAAAATACGGGATAGGTCAGGTTATGTCTAAAATACACATCTAATGATTTAAACTCTTGAAAATTTTCTCGTTGGAAGATATTTCAGATTCATCGTTATTTAAAAAACTACCTTTATGGTAATGAATAAAGAAAATATGATAAAAATGTTGACTTGAACTTTATATTTCTAATGCGATGGAAAAAACAAATATTTGACGGATCGAAATGCAACGAAATTTTAAATGATGTTCAAAGTGTCTGTTTCTTAGAATATTAAATGATTTTGAGATTTAGAATAAGATTTGTTATCGGTAAACGTGAATAACGAAATTACTTTCCTAACAAACCAAACAATTTCGTAATCTTTGAAACTGGCGCTATTAAGTCACATAATCTTTGAACAGCTGATCAATGAAACAATGTAAACGCGGTACCTGTTCAAGAATCGTTTAAGAAGAGGAATTTGTGAAATTTCTTAAAATTTCTTTTGTACATCAACCTTTTTTACAAAGTTTTTTTATCATCCAAGAAATTTGATTTCAAGATTTGTTCCAATCGACTTTTGGAAAAATTGTGATATTTTCTTTATTCGTGAGGATTTGTACAATGGAAGAAGGAAAAAAGTTTTGGAAGAAGTCCGATGATTTGTTATTTTCAAGGATATCATTAATGAGCCTGGTGTTGGAATAAAATTAAACGGTGACGTAAATGGATAATGGAAATGGTGAAAGAAAAGCCACGAAGACGGAGCGTGAGTGAATTGCTCGATTGGAGATCCATGATTGGATTGAAAGGTGGTGCTGTTAATTCCGAGAACAATGATACCGATGGCATTTATTTTGATGATTATGATCGAAGTCCGGAAATTAGGCGAAGAAAACGTTCCGGCACTTGGCCGTGAGTAAACACTATGTAAACGTTGAAATATAGTAAATTCATTTTTTATTTGATCGTATATCCTAACGATTATCAATATTATTTAAATGAATATTATAAACATTTTAATATTTTTTGTGGAATCAAAGTCCATTTTTATCTTATATTGAAAATAAATTGTATAGTTTTCAACAAATCCGGTATGGTCTAGTGGCTAGGATACCTGGCTTTCACCCAGGAGGCTCGGGTTCGATTCCCGGTACCGGAATATTTTTTTTTGAAGATATTTTACAATATTAAAAAGAAACATTGTTTTTGCATCGGAAAACACGAATAATTGTTGTTTAATAATTTCTTTATTATTATAAAATAAAGTTAAATATGTTTGTTGTTTGTTCTCATATTGAAAGTAATTCTATAGAAAAAAGGAGCAATGCTATATATGTATTCAATATTCATAAAAAAAGTCACTGTATTCGTTCTATTTCGTAATTAACCAGAAGAAACGTAATCCGATTTCAATTCGCGATCGAAACAGGAGGCAGGACGCGTTAACTTGACTGGTATAATCTCTCATACATGCATTACTCGAAAGTAACGATAATAAAAATGATAACATTTGCAAAAAGAAATTTAACCGAACAAAATTATATCTCATTCTTTATATTTTAACCATAACTTTACAATTTTTGTAAACTGAACGATTTAATTTTTTAATGAGCACAATTCGTATGTATTAAAAATTTACATACAACATAATTCACGTGTAAGAGTATCATTCAATTTAAATTAATACTCATAATGAACCAATTTAATTTCATATTATAATTTCTGCAAAATATTCATTTTTTATTAAATTTCATATTGTATCACGGATCGTAAACTTTCTCGAAGAGAAATGACTTGAATTCATAATATAAGTGAAATATAAAGAAAGAGAGAAAGAGAGGAACAAGGGGGTTAAGGTTTCGAAGAAGCAATTGATTGGTCGTGCAAGGTTTACGACGCATGCGTTGTTTCGATAGCGCAACTCGAACGATGCTCAGGCGTCGTGACGCCGGTTGTCGTCATCTTGCTTAGTTAGTGTCAAAACGAAGAACCCACCCAGTCGGTGTTCTTCTTTTTCAGTTCCTTCCTATGGGAATGTGCCTTAATCCTCTTCGATCGTCATCAGCTTGTCTATTGCATCTTCCGTTCTTCTTTAATTAACATTTTCTAACAAAGTCTTCCTGGTTAGTTGTACATAAATATGGACGAGGCCGAGCTGAGGTAGGAACCCGGACACTCTCTCTTTCTCTTTCTCACACAACATACACATATACACACATATATCTATCTCAGTGGTTCCCAAAGTGGGCGATGAAACGACGGGCGATGAATTTTTTTTTGAGTTCCAAAAAAAAAATGGAAAAACCAAAAAATTAATTTTCAGGTTGGAGATAAATAATAAAGTAATTTTTTTTCTGGAAAGGGGGCGATAGAACAAAAAAGTTTGGGAACCACTGCCCTATCTCTTTTTACCTTTATCTCGTCCGTTGCCAAACTTGACACACGATACGCCTAGCCTACATTTTATATCGAATAATTTTTTACTAGTTTACAAGTACAAATTTATCTAGTTAAATCATAAAAATTAATTTCCTTTAAATTTATCAACTTTTGTTGATTAAATATAAGTCCACGTTTAAAATGAAATATATAATTACTTTATGTGTCGGTAACTGAAAAATTGAACTAATCGTAAGTTAATAAAAAATAAATTTAGAAAAATCAGTTTTATGATTTATTTTCTATTAAAATTAATGACATAAAGTAAGTATTTTTTTATAGTTCGTTGACTTAAGGACTTGCTATCTTAAATTAATGAACGTTCTATAATTAACAACGAAATAAATAATATTCTTCATTGACAAAATTAAAAAGAACTTTTTATATTGTAATAATAAATTAATGTAAAATAATGATTATATCCAATATACGAATTTATATATATATATAATTTAAGATAAAAGTAAAGATCGTTTTTAAATATTAAATAATAATAAAAACTTACATTAGTGTCTTATTTTATTATAATGGTGTTTCATCGGGATCTTAAAAAAAAGAACAGCTGGTGGATACTGTTTGTAAGATGAATGTGAGGAGAGGGGGAGGGGATGGGTAGAAGGGGGGAGCAAAAGGATGCAGAGGTTTCTTTCTTCGACCAATATAAGGGTGAGAAGGGGGGTGGGGGGAACGCGTATTTTAGTTTTGTTTGCTCGTTTTATTGGTGCGAGAAGCGAGAACGCGTTCACCTTTCGCCGCCTTCAGTTGCTACGGAATGTACGTGTTTGCTTCGGATTTTATTCGATGCCTTCGAACGAACAAATGAACCAGTGGCTCCCATACTTTTACTTTTTTGTCCTATTGCCCTCTTTTCAGAAAAAATATTACTTATCGCACCCCTGAAAATTAACTTTTTGGTTATCCTTTTTTTTCTTTAGTAACTCAAAAAAAATTAATCCCTCTCCTTCTCTCAAATGCGCCCGTGGCCATCATCAGCCCCCTGAATCGCTTCATCGTCCACAAGGGGGCAATATCGCCCACTTTGGGAACCACTGGAATGAACGAACGAACAGACCAATGGAGCTCTATGCGACGGTCCATGAGAAGAGAACCAACTTCTCCTTTGAGCTTCGATGCTATATGTGGTGCCCCGTTTAAGAGCTCTCTCTCAAGAATTTTAAAAATTCCTTAGGATGCAATCGATTACCGAACCGGCCCTCCTCCACCCCCCTAAACTTTTCGCATTTCTCCTTTCCGAGATCGTTCGAGTTAATTCGGCCAATGTTGCTCCTTGCTGGTGGAACCTTTGGAATCTTTCAAAATGATTCGACCTAATTTTCTCTTATTTTTTTTTACTTTATTCTCTTTTTTCGTTCTAAGTGATCTTTATTAAATATTATCGATATTACTTTATCGATCAATAATTTATTTTCTCTTTTTCTTTTTTATATACTTTAAAAATTTAGTTAGTAATATAATATATTGTAAATAATATTGTATATAATAATAATTATTATTAGTATTATTATATATTAATATATATATATATATAATAGTAATGTATTAATAAATACATATAATATATGTATCATAATAATATAATAATAATGAATATAATGATAATAATAATTATTATTATATATCAATTATTAATTGTAATTATATTTTTATATAATTATTATTATCATAATATCGAACAATTTTTATTTTTCTCTTAAAACATAATTATAACATTTTCTTCAGCAAGTAATAATAAGAATAATGTTTGTGAAGAATTATTATTAATAATATTACTATTATTTGTATGTTTTCGCGTATGAAAATTAGATAATAACGATTAGATCTTTTTTTAAATAACAAAAAGTTTTGTATTCAGGTGGAAACTTTCAAACCACGAAGAACAATACGACCTTCTGCGAGTTTCTTTCTTTCTCAATCATGGAGAAAGTTTAGTGCTCGAAAGTATATACTTACTAATAGAGTGAAACTAGAAATAAAAATATTCTTTACAACGTTAGTTAGATAAAATAGTTTACGTGTGTTAAGAGACTTAAGTATATAAAAATTCTTTCGAAAAAATAATTCACTCAAAATATCCCTATTATCTTATATGATCTTTCGTAACTGTTGTGTTGATCGTTTGTACTGTTTACTATCTAATAATCACGTTTGAATATGTGTACAAATATCTGTAATAAGAAAACATGTTTCGCGTTATAAGTATTCGTTTATTAATAATGCAATGTGTGCGTATTGAGTTATTCGAGAAATAAATCTCGTTTCTTTCAAAGAGTAAAGAAAAGAAAAAAAACAAAAGACAATTTTTTGCTTATTAGGAACCAAGACGTTTTAGATTATCGCGAATTTAATAAAAAGGATAAGAAAGATTCAATTGTGTCCTGCACGAACGCTTTCTTCTTTCAGTGATCGTAAAATCGAGCATCCTTACCGACCGATCTATACGTGGAAGAAAAGCGATAATATCCGGGTAAGCAAGGGCGAATGATCGTCATTCCGCGAACAGCCATCTTCCGATTCGGTTCTCTTACCGGTTCCTATAAATTGATATTTTTCTCTAGATATATTATTTGTTCAATTTCTCTTTCTCTTTTGAAAAGCCAATAAATCTCGAGTGTGTTGTGTCTGTTTCGGTTCATCGTTCGGTACGAAAATTTTGTTAAAGAAGTTCCAAAGTGCCATTTTGTTGTTTTATGTGTGCTGTTACTACTCACACAAGTGACGTGTGACGTCATTAAAAATAAACAAACTTATCTTCCTTCGACTTTTGAATTTGAGAGGAAACAAAATTTAATATCACGTTTGTGTGTTATCTTATATGTTATTCATAATAAGAAAAGATCAATCGATTAACCGTTCACGTTAGATTAATTGAGATAATATTGAAATGTTTTATGCGTTTGTCAAAATTGTTCAGGTTTCTTTTGAATATTGTTCCACGTGACGTTTAATTTTTCAAATAAATTCTTCTCTCTCTTTCTCATTGTTTTTTTTCGTATACAATTATCTCCAAATATCTTCTTCGATAAGAACATTTAGATAAAAAAGATTTTCATTTCTTTTAATAAGATTATTTTTTTCCGTCAAATTTAATAAAGATGCATGACATAAACGTGCGAGCGAAAGCTTTACAGACTAAATTTCATTCAAGATAATGATATAACATCAGCGATGACTGCGCAATAAATAACATCAACGATGATTGAGTGATAAACAACGTCAACGATAATGGCAAAAGATACAAATACTTAAAGAAAACGGGGATTTTTTAATAAATGTAATCTTTTGTATCAAAGTACTTAATGAATAATCTCTTTTGTTCTGTTCATATTTCTTTGACAAATTAATCCATTTGATCGAGCACATGATTGTTGATCTGATGATTATTAAAATGATTTATAAATATAGAATTTCATTTAGAAATATTTCCAGAGGAATTTTGAGAAAAGAAAAGAGTAATCTTTTATTATTTAGAATGATTGATCATAATCTTCTATAATCATAAACTCAGTTAATCATCAGTACACATATAAACCCACACACAAGATATAAATTATAAATTATTAGAGAACATCAAGAATTAAAGAAAAAAGATATAATTAATGGTTTTTTAATTCATATCTGGCCGGTAAGGTAGAATCCCTTATCGACCGAGACCAAACAGGTTGAAAGACTCGCTTTACATTGCTCGACACGGTGTTCCGATTTCACCTTGCGATCTCGTTTCATACTTGCATAATGGTATTCCGAAGTTAAATGTAATTTAACGGGTTAAAAGCACTGTCAGATGAAATTTTAATGTAAATTGTTCTACGTTGTCCTGTCCTTTCTATGAACATTTTCGATTCATCGAAATTTTTTGCAAATCTTTTAATCTCTGATCAATACGATTTCAGAGTATCGAAACAAACGATAGCAAATTTTGATAATTCGTCACGTTTGTTTTATTGTTATCCATAAACAAGTAATTTGTTCTTTCTAATTCCTTATTTATACGTTCTACCATTTATCGTTAATTATTTATTTTATTTTTAAATTATAATTTATGTAAATATAAAATCAAATATAAATTTAATTCTTTAGTGTCCAATATTGTTTGCAAATTTAACTATTTCGTTTTGGTATGCTTTGGCACGAGTAATTGTTCCATATAAATTCGCTTGTATATTTATATCCTTGGATGGTAAGATTTCTATATCAGTAGATGCGGCCTTTTTTTATATAGGTCGCTAATAATTAAAGAGTTCAAAAATCAAAACAATACGATTAAATTAATACATATTATTTAAGTATGCTATATAAGTTTTACACTTCAATTCACCCCTTAGTAAATCAACTAATTTCTATATAAATATTTTATTAAAAAAATAACATTAAACGTGAAATAATTAAGTAAGAAATTTAAAATTTTATTTCAAAGAGGTATATTAGAAGAATTTCATAAATATATATGATTAGATTACATAATATATACACCACATTACAGGCGGTATTGGTTAAAAGAAAAAACACGTTGTAGAATTGTGTTAAGAAAATAATCGATGACCTTGAAATCACATAAAAAAAATTCACGATCTTAAAAGAAAAAATTATCATAAATACTATTTTAATAAAGAAGAAGATAAATATTGGAGCTAATTGAGATGACGATATTTAGATAGAATATGAATAAGAGAAACAAAAATTATAAAACACTGTTCACTCAAGTTCAAGGTTAATTGGTAGACGGTCGAGTAGTACCTCAAAGTTTACAATGACAAATAATTATAACCGATCGATTTTCGATTTTTCTAGTAACTTTTTTTCAGCTTTGCACTTATTTGATGTACGAGACGAAACGAAAAAATACGTCTCTTATAAATTATCTTTTTTATTGATGCAGATATTTAAAGAACGACCGAAACTAAAAGGACAGGAAGAAAAATAAAAATAAAAAGTAAAAGTGTTTGGAATAATTGATCATTTACAAAATGACCGATCAAGTGTCACCATTACGCGAAAATTTTGTTAATGGATATTTAGATGGGAATTTTGATAACATCGATCAATTCGAAAATCATTCCGAGAAAGGGTCGTTGGATAATTCTCCACGAAATCGCGTGCTGAGGTATAATAAGTAAAAAAAAAACAATAAAAAATAAAAAATCTTAACAATAACAACGAAAAAAATTATTAATCAAAATTTTTTAATCGTCGAAATATTAAAATCTTCATACATTTCATACACTAATCAGCAAAAATGTTGTTAATGGTAACAAGATGATAATCCGAATGCAAATGAGTCGCATTAAAAAACGATATTATCATCGTATCGAATAATCAATTCTCATAAATTAAAACGATAAACATGGTTACGTGCTCTTACATTGTACTCATAAAATTGTAAAATAATTTATGCGATTTGTATCCTTTGAAAAATGATTTCCTTTTTTCTAGTCTTTTTATTACTTCAAATTTTCTAACAGTTTAATGCGACCAACATTTTTCATTATATAATTATCATTCATTATCGAGTTTTATTTTTAATTGATTTACTTATATGTTTAATGAATATTTATTTATTTAATTTTTTGTTTTTCTTTTTTTACAGGAGAACGAGAAGTTTAAACGCACCAAGTCCGATACAACAATTTGGGCCATGCGGGCGTATAATGAAAAACTCGGCTATGGTCATGTGAGTAAATTGATTTATTATTTTAATTATTATGAATTATCCTGCGAATTCTCGAAAACTCAAAAACTTAATGAGATATTAGAAAAAAACTAACAATAAGTAGATTTTTATGTAAGTAATTTTTTACATGTTATTTAATAAGAATAATCGTAACTTACAATTTATTCTTTGCAAATCATTAACAATTCATTGAAAACTTAATACAGAATTCATTATAGGTTAAATTAGTTTAACGACAAAAAAGAAATATCAGTCATTAGGTTCGATAATATCTGTGTAATACAAAACTGTATAATACAAAACCATCTAAGAAAATATATCATATTCAATACCGATTGTTCAAATTTTGTCACGCGGAGATTGTTGCGTTCGGTGATCCATCAAGTTGTTATTCAAGGATTTAGAAGTACGAATAAATCTAAAAGCATTTTTTGTTTTTATATGACTCGTATTTGTCATTTAAAATTCAAGGGTAAAGTTAATTAATGCTGATCGTTTACGAACAATTGTTAAGATTGAACAAAAATATCGGTTGAAAACGTCCATTCTCTTGGCAAAAATATGCTTGTCATGAATTTTTTTCGTATTCGTGATTGGTTGAGCAATTCTAAAGTACCCAACGTATTGTCCCAAAATTATCCCTTCCAATTGTTATTTGCTCGAATCGATGCAAAGTACTTAGTCTGATGCGTACTTGTAAATATTTGAATAAGTGCAAAAATGGGTCAACGATTTCATTTCGTAAAAATCTGAAACACTGTTCACTTGTGAAATTTGTAAGTTGTCTAAAAATATGTGACGTAAATTGATAGACGATAATAGAAAATATTTTAATGATTAAATGTTTATTTTCTTATAAATATATATTTCATAATCTTTGGACAAAAATATTTTCAAACTTATTTGTACATCTCAAGAGATTAGAAATAGTGAAAAAGAAATATAGAGAAGTGATGAGTTAGGTCGAATAAATTTATTTGATCAATGATCGATGAAATTCGTTTTCATTGTCAATGTCATGATCGTCAAGATCGTGTGTCGATATTAATCATCACGTATTATGAAGTTTATGGTCATCGTAGAAGGCACAGAAGTTTCGTGACCTATATCACAGGAACGGTACTTTCTGTAGCCGTTCACCATTCTTTGTGATTCAATTGAACCGATCGTAAACTAAATAAAATATGTTCTAAGTATTGTAAACCGTTCAATAATTTGTTCGTAGAACAAATCCTATAAAGATTATATATTTATATATATTTATCTTTTTTTACAATAGACAGACACATTTTTTTCAGATAATCGTAGAGGAACGTCAAAGAAAAACACAAACAAAATTATAAAACATGAGATCATAATATAGAAATACAATTTTGCCCTTGATCGATGATATTCGCCTACGTTATGCGTTAGAATGATAAATGTAAAGAATGATTTCAAGGATTTTACGTCAGTGTTGATTCTTCTTTTTTCATGGTTATTATTATTATTATTATTATTATTATTAATAATGAATTAATTAATTAAATAAGACGATTTACTAATACAAGTATCTCTATTCTTTATTTTTTATTACTTTTTTTTATTCGTCTCTTTTGTAAATTTCATCATTGTAAAAACTTGTTTAAAGAATTACGGCACTACTTTGCTTTCAGTAAAAAAAATTTGTTTAGGTTAGGAAGATGGTTAAAAAATTCATTTTCATTCTGGAATAGACAAGAAAAATTGTCAAATCATTAAATTCTCGTCGATTCAGGTATTGAAATTATGCTACTAATATAATTAATAATTTAATTTCATGTTCGATTTTTGGTTAGCATAGATTGTATTAGAACACGTAATAGAAAATAACAAAAAAATCCATTATATGAACAAACATTAATATTAAGCTTCATTGAATTGAATACATAGATGCATATAGTATTCTATATAATTTTGTAACCACAAATCCTGCATTAGATTATGCTAATCATCGGGAAACGACACGTTGAATAATCATTTAAAAAAAATCTAATCGTAAGAAAGATCGCGAGTCATGTTTCCAAATTAATATTGTGGTATTACATCATTTTCTTGTCATTCTCGTCTTTATTATTTTTTGTTACGTGAAAAATGACGATCTTTCAAATAAGGAGTCTATTTTTTTTTTTTTTTATTAAATTATTTCATTACATTATTTAACAAATATCGAATTTCTTCGAAATTTCATTCGAGTAAGTAACAGTAAATATTTTGCATATATTTCGTGACGTTATATTTATATTTAATTATGTTCTTCGTGTAAGTTAAATATTATATTCTCGCATTTTACAGAAATATTATATTTCCATTTACTAGAAAAGCAATATTGCAAATATTAATTTTTCACGTAGAGTCTAGACCAAAAATCAGGTATCTTTGAAATTTAGTAACATTTATGGAAACTTTAAATGAAAGAATATTCTTATTAACCCATTATAACTGCCAAATTTCTTTTTTTGAAATTTTTGGCCAGATAAGTTATATATATATGCACAAAAGTTTGTGTAGCAGTATAATTATATTCGAATTATATTTTGTCTTAAAAATATTTAATATTTTTGAAAAAGTATCAAATAGGGATTTTGGGTTAATTGAGTCGTTTATTTTAAAGTGGCCTAAGTCTAATTATAGCCATTAAAAACATATCATTTCCTAATTAATGTTAATAGTATTAAGTTAGCATTACTATAGAAAAAACAAGATCATTTACAAATTTAAAATATGAAAACTTAATGAATTTACTACATTATATACCATCTGCAAACTATACTTTTAACCGTTTCGTTGGCGTGGACGTGTTATCTCGCGACGACAATACTGCCTGTATAGGGTCACAGACGAGTTATCCTGCAACGACGAAACTGCTTGTACAAGGTCAATTGTTAATTGTACAAGGTTTATTATATACCCTTACCAAAATTACCGCTTTTCCGAATTAAAATTCTTAATCTAATAATACAGTACGCGATATATGTCTGTGGCAATACACGAATGGTACCGTAGCGCGGCATAATACGTTTGTGATCTTGTATAAGCAATTTCGTCGTTGCGGGATAACTCGTCTGTAACCCTATACAAGCAGTATTGTAGTCGCGAGATAACACGTTCATGCCAACGAAACAGTTAAATTCCTCTTGCATACACAAACTTGAAAAATCTCAATAATGTATCTATTTATCTATCTATTTATATATGTAAAAGTAAAATTTTATGTTTTTTCTGAACTTTTTATATCTTGTTTTAAATTCCGTTTTTGTAGTACACACGCTTATATAATATTCGTTTTTATTTTCTTTAAAATTTTTTTAAGAGGTGATATTCATCGGTATTTTTTGCAGTAGAAAAAAACAATTAAGATAACATAAAATAAACTGCAACTCCATTTTTTTCAAAAATTGGCTAGCTTTGCTAGTAATTAATAAAAAAATGTTAATTTTAAAGTAAAAATTATTTAACAAAGAATAAAAGTTGAATATTTTTTTGGTATGATAAATTTAATACCATTAAAATCTGAAAAACATTATTCTACTATATGTTATCTATTATCTATATTTTGAAATTTAATTTAACGCAAACCCTTTAATGTCTTGATTCGAACAGAAATAGACTTAGGCCACTATTAAAATAAATGGCTCAATTAATTAATTAAATCAAATATGAAAAATATTTATGCCCTCAAATGTTAATTTATGAAATAATTAAAGAAAGAAAACATCGAGAAAAGAAAATGAAATAATTTTTTTTTATTGATATACAAACAGTTGATTTAATATAAGTATAGATACACTGAATAAAATAGAAATAAAAAAGAAAGATAAAAAGAAAGATAAAAAGAAAGATTATTTTAAATTAGCACGTGGACATTGATGAGGAGATTTATGACGCATGCGCCTTAACGTACTAACGTTTACCATTAAAAGTTCGAAACGAATCGTATACTTAGCAGTTTGCGAGTGACCATCACAGAACGAGAAGTGTCTTTGCAACTTGTCGTTGTAACTTTTGTTACTTCTAATCATGGTTGGAACTGTCAAGTGAGTTAGAATGAATGTTGATGTCTAATTAAATTAATTCATTAATTTTTATTAATCATCATTAACGTAATTCTTAATAAATTATTCATATATCACTACGTGTCATTTATTACATTGTCATAGGATAAATGTCAAAGTTAAGTAAAACTTTAAATAAATCAATTTTACTTATAATTATGAAAGTGGTCTAAGTCAAAATTTAAAAAAAAATAAATGAGTTTATCATTTATTTCATACGATATTATTTAAAACTAAATTAATTCAATGTAATTTTCACGATATTGTCAAAATGAACCGTTAGATAGTGTTTGTTATTTCAATATTATATAGAATTAATTTAGCGTTCAAATGTAATTCTTTAAATATCTCGAAACAAAAGATATATAACTTGGATCACTTTCATAATTATGGGCATAATTAATACCTTTATTATTGGGTATTAGATTTATGTTATATATCGTGTGGAAATTTATATATATACTGACAACTAGTTGTATAATATATTGATTTAATTCCATTATTTCATATCATGGTTAACAATATTATCAAGAAAAGAATTTTATTCGAGGAAAATAAAATTAAAATTGACATTATGTCGATAAACATTAATTACGAACTTCGTAATCTAATGGTATTTTTTACAATTCCGCCAGAAGCACGGACAAAAAGCTGCAATAAAAAAGAAAAGAGAATTAGAACGTTTTGGCCAACTGCATTATCCCGTTGCAACTCAACACGATAAGTAGCACGTCCTTGAAGTAGTAGCTAGCTAACATCTTCTTGCACTTAGAATTTTCCATAGAGTAAAAAATGAAAAACGACCCTACTCGTTCTTTATCCTTTTTGTCTTCTTACTGTTATTTCCGCTGAAGATATCAAAATTTCTCATCACGAAAATTCCAATGCGTAGGGCTTCTTCCCCCTTCTTACTCCCAAAGTCTTCTATGAGACTTGTTTATCCGTTTACCTATCTACCTATTTACCATCCTGTACTTACATACAGTAGTTCAGTAGATTGAGACACCGATTCGATTTATCATAATACGTATTATATATCATTCATTATTGTACCAAGACAATGAACTATTGGTATAAACTCAAGATGAGAGATTAGATTTTTAATTGCACGAAAATATGTTCTAATCTTATCCGAAGTTTGAATTATTAACGTTAAACATTTCTGACCATTATTTTGGTTTTTATACTCGAGAATGATCATTCTTCCAATAGGACAGAAGAAGTACTCTCTCGCTATAGTAAGTCGAAGTTAGACAGCATAATTATTGAGAAACGCGTAGGTAGTCAGCAGCATAAGGTATTCGTAAAACATTGATTTATTTTCTTAGCACGAACTTATTTACTTTTATCTTGACCAGGAGTAACGTTACGTGTGTCTATGACGACGATTACTTTGCTTTATGAATTATTATTAGGCAAGTTTTTCTACAATCGATAATGATTCCAACTCGAATCGGAACCCCTTCGCCTCGACCTCTTTCTAATCAATTTCTTCAAATGATCTCGTTTGTTATTTTCAATTAAATAAGGTCCTAAAATTATGTTCATAAAAGAATAAAAATAAAATATAATGACATAAATGTAACAAAATACAAACGAATAGAAAAATGAAATATTCGATTTCTTTCCAATAAGTTTCTCTTATTCTGATACGTTTATAATTGTAAACCAAACGAAAATAAAAATAAAAAGAAAAGAAAATGCAAAGGAACGAATGAAACGAAGAGAAAAATGAAATACTTGATTTTTTTCGTTATAAATTTCTCATTGACGCTTTCGTAATTATGAATCAGAACAAGATCATAAAATTAAGACAATAGTGTTAAAATTCAAATTATAATAACACATAATATAGAAGAATAAAATAGTATGGATAAAAAAAATTGAAACAATAAATCGTATAAAGCAAACAACTGGTAGTGATCCGATTATATTAATATTTAAAAGGCGATTATTTAATAATGACTAAGCTTAAATTAAATATTCATAAAATTTACAAAGGGTAATGTTGTTACAATACAGGTTGAATATTTCAATATTCCGGAAGTTTCGTAAATAATTCGAAATTGTCGTTCGCATTTAAGTAAGTAGGGGTATATGTATATATAGAGGTAAGAATGCATTGAACGTTTTTTAGTTAAACTTCGAACTCGTTCCAAGTATTTCGAAAAATTACTATGTCTTTAATAAAACCTTTAACAAATAGATATTCGGAATCATGTATATCGACTATTCCCGATAAAGTGGCTAAAAACAACGTAAACAATTTAATTGACATCATTTATAGGACCATTCAGGACCCGGCTTCGCAAAGGTTGACTTGGTACAAACCACCACTAAGTGTCCTCGTGATAAAAAAAGTCCGTGATTCTTCTGTTCTACCACCTTTTGTGCAGTTGGTAACATGGCTAATAGAAGTAAGTAATTATGATTCTAATAATAAAACATAGTTACTTTGTGTTGCATAATAACGGAAAGAACAACGATAAAACGTAATCGCCGTGAACGTGATTGTTCGTTGAGTGAAAAACGATTAAACGGACGGTGGAAAATATAAATTTACTCTTATTTGTCTTTTTTTATTTCCCCTGTTTTTGTATACAAGAATTTAGTCAAATAAATAACTCGAATCGTCGATGATTGTAATCGTTGTTCGTGTAAGACAAAATGTAATTCGATTAAAAGACCGTATATAAATCTGTTGTTAATATTTTGTTATATCAATTGTCATTACATCGACGCATAAATTTAATTTATGCTTATTATTATTATTATTGATTCACGTAGTAGATAGAAACCAGCGATGCATACAAATGCACATTTTTTTCATACTTTATCAAGAAAAAGAGATTCAAGCGATATTTTTTGTTTTTATTTCTCAAATAATTTCTATCCAAATAATGAACGTTGGAATTTATATAATATAACAGTAGAATTGTGTAATCATTTCCTTTTTTTTGTTTTCTTCAAGCGATAATAATGCAAATTACAAATTATGACCGTCGAAGCTTATCGATGTGTGTTAATATGTTAACTACCACGTCGGTTATTCGTGACCAGCGTTAATTTTTTTCAATCGGGTTATAAGGATCACCCGTTAACGCTATTGCTATATTGTTTAATATTTTTATTTTAAAATTGTTGCCCTTAAGAGTAAAACACATGTCCAATTTAGCTAAAAATCGAAGTGTTTTAATCGTTAGATTTTATCTTGTTTCTTTACAACAAATGTTAATAACAAAAACAATTACAAAATTTTGCTGAATAATTCGTTGTTTAATTTTTCATTTTTTTCCTATAGTAAAATGTACATAATCGTTTGTCAGAAAGATATCACTCAAATATTACGTATGAGCACATTTTATTTATAGCTAAATTAGAACTTTGTTTGCTTATCTTTCACGTGACCAATAAGTAGAAGAAATTTTCGATTTCGTTAATGGATTCACGTATTGAACATTTTGTTCTCACAGTTATATCACGTGATCGTTATTATTTTTCATCGATAATTACTTAAATGTGTATTAATATATATTATACAATTTTTATATCTATTTGATCTTTTGGATAACGTTTAGGAAAAGCGAATGGTCGTATTCGTCGAAGCTACCGTACTCGAGGACTCAGCTTTGGCTCGGGATTTAAGATTTCAAGGAGTTCGAGACAGATTACAAACATTCAGAGATGGCACCGATGATTTACAGGTATTTAGATTTATCAATTTTATTTGCTAAATCGCAATATCAACGAACATAGTCGAAGATAATCAATGAATTATATATATATATATATATATATATATAAATATCTATAAATGATCTAATTCTTTCGTTATAAGCGATCCATATAAGGGTCGTAAATGCAAAGGTCCGTATGTAAAATCAACCCTTATATGGGTTGTTTATCCAAAGATTTGACGGACTCATATAGGGGTTTTATATACCACCTTACGTAAGTTACTAACAGATTTATATGGATAATTTTATCTGTTGTACAGGATAGAATAGATTTTATAATATGTTTGGGAGGCGATGGCACGTTACTTTACGCCGGTCTTCTTTTCCAACAATCCGTACCACCAGTTATGGCATTTCACCTTGGTTCATTGGGTTTTCTCACGCCCTTCGAATTCGACAATTTTCAAGAACAAGTTACGAACGTTCTCGAAGGTAAATATAGAAAAATACAAACGTTAGATATTATTTTTGTATTTCTTTTTTATTTACTCGTTAATGTGATATTTAAATTTAATTTTTAAAAATTACGTCAAAAGAAAGAAATTTATTATTATTTATTATTATTTATTGTTATTCTTTAAATCCCATACGCTGACGATTTAAGAAGAAGAAGAAGAAGAAAACAAAATATAAAAACAGTCGTAATAAGACGCGTGGAATGTGCTAAAGCGAATGTAATTCACACCAGAAAAGCGAGAACATAGCGTAGAATATTTTTATCACTTTGAAAATCTTTTCAACATTTGATATATTATATATATACGTGCATCATTGTTTGATCAAAATTTTGTAGAGAATTATAGCAATTTACAAATCGAAATTTTTATTTTGAAAATACTTTTTAATATCTTTCATCAGTGATATACTATTATTTACTTTGAAAATATCATATATAATTCGTTCGCTAGGTTTAAACAAAAATTTATTTCCTATCTTATATTAGATTATTTTATTTTTTCGCGGATATTCCCTTTTATGATGTTGACGATATCCATTTCGTAAATTAATATCAATAAAATAATATTAATAAATTAAGTTGGAACATGAATGCGATTAAAATGAACTCGTTAGCTCGATAACAATGTTAGTATGTCCTTTTTTCATTTTTTGTCAGAATACTTAAAATTAATTGTTCTGTGTACACAGGTCACGCGGCCTTGACCCTTCGAAGTCGTTTAAGGTGTATCATTATGCGAAAGGAAGAAGAGGGTCAACCATCTAAATCACCAACGAATTTGTTAGTGCTGAACGAAGTGGTCATAGATCGAGGACCTTCGCCGTACCTTTCAAACATCGATCTTTTTATCGACGGCAAGTATGTGACTAATGTTCAGGGTGATGGTTTGATCGTCAGTACACCAACTGGCTCTACGGCTTATGCAGTAGCAGCAGGAGCTAGCGTGATGCATCCTTCGGTACCTGCAATCATGATCACACCGATCTGTCCTCATTCCTTATCATTCAGGCCAATCGTTGTACCAGCTGGTGTTGAATTAAAGGTTATTATTATTTTTATGTTTTTATCATCTTATTTTTATCTATTACATCATTAATGTTTATTAAAACAAAACAAAAAACGTGTTAGAATAATTCAACCATTTTAATGCGGACATTTATAAAAGATTACAAGTTCTGATTGAAGTTTGATTGCATCATCATTAAACATTGTTGAAATTAATTTTTATTGTATTAATTTTGAAAAAAAAGAACGATATCTCAAACGAATTAGAAATATTTGATTGGGTCGAACAAGGACGTAGAAGGAAACTTGACTCCCCACAGTCCACATTCCCAGACCATGCATTGATCTCTTTAGTTTCTTTAAAATCTTCGCAGTCGAGTGGAGTTCCAATCCTTGTGGACTTTTGTTGATTTTTATTTCTTTTTTTTCTTTTTTCTTTTTTTTTTTCTTTTCAATTTACGACAAAAAATTTATTAATTCTATATATTTACTTTTGATCGTAGATTTCAGTATCGCGAGACAGCAGAAACACTTCGTGGGTCTCGTTCGACGGTAGAAATAGACAAGAATTGTTTCATGGAGACAGGTAAAAATATTGTTTAGAATTGTTAAGTCTAATCGAGGATCTTCCTCTTTTTATATTTTTCAGATAATGTCTAACAGTAATGCCCGCAGCACGGCCTACGTTTCCTTTGATGGTCGAAATCAACAAGAACTACGAATCGGGGACAGGTCTGTCCATAATTATACGAATGATTACGTTACTGGTTTCTACCACTTTCGTTTTTTCATTTTTTCTTCTATTTGTGCATATACAGTTGTCTCTTTTCATTTTAAATTCATTAGACGTTATATACATATATTAAATATATATATTCTAACACTGCTATATTCTAACAGGATACAATACGTCTTTTCGTGTAATTGTATTCCTTCTTCATTTAAAGCTTTTATCTCTTGGTTTTATCTATCTTATCCATTTTCATTTAAACATTAATGAAGAACTCCAAAACTATTGATATGCTTCTACTTTCACTTTCTGAAATTTCGTAACCAAATCGGAAACGTTGGCTGATATCTGCAGGATTATGGTACTTTGTATTTATCCTATCTTTATATCTGCATTGTGTCATATGTTATATTAATTTGTATTTGTCATAACTTTACATTCGCATTATCTGTACACATGTGTGTATAAATATATTAATATGTATATGTATACTATATAATATATATTGTATATTATACTAAAAAATATATTTATGCAACATAAACATAAATAAATGTATCTTCAATTTCAAATTGGAAACAATGTGCCGACAATTATAAAAGTGGATTATGTTAAAAAATTGAACAAATTTATTTTATAATATAATTTAGAATCGCGCGGTCATCTCAATTCCAAAGTCAGGGTTGCGTCATCATTCCTCAAAAATTTGAAAAGCAAAAAGACCCGAATATAAGCCAAGACAGGTCCTATCAAGCTAATGACTCAATTTTAGTCACAAATCCTATGATAATTGTAATATAAAATAAATTATCAAATAAATATATTTGTTCAATTTATTGACTCAGTCTTATATATTATATTATATATATTATTGTCAATTTAAAAAAAAATGATATAACAGATCATCTTTTCTAATTCAGACATTATTTTACAGTTTACAAGTGACAACATCGGTATATCCCGTTCCTAGTATTTGTGCAGCCGATCAAATAACGGATTGGTTTGAATCTCTCGCCGAGGGTTTACAATGGAACGTTCGGAAAAGGCAAAAACATTTGGACGAGCTGAGTGATTTAACTCATTCATCTAGCAACGATACCCTTGACTCTTTGGACCGTGACAGCTAGGCTAAGGGCATGTGTTATAAATAGGATAATAACCATTTAGCACAATTGGTAATATCAAACATAAATCTAAAAGATTTGTGCGAGTGCCTCTAAAGTGATAAGAACATGGAGACTCCTTTACTCTACGGGATAATAGACGACGGATTTTGTTCTATATCATCATAAAAAGTTATTGGAACCAACTATGCCGGTGTCACAATTGAAATCAATCATTATTTTAATTCTAACAACTTTTAAAAGGCGAATATAGTATACACGTTCGCTCTCATAGTCATCGATTTGTACGATAATATTTTAAATGAACATCGACATTCATGCAATCATAATGTTAGTGTCGCATTATTCGATGATTCTGATGAGTTGTTAAGAAGAAGCCCCGGCCTTAGTCGAAGAGCTAATTGATATTTTATTATAAAGAGGATCAAACACGTGTAAAGAGGTTTAAAACACGTGCATTAAAAAAAATAGAGAAATCGTATGTTTCTGTATTTCTTTTTTGTTTCCTTTTTTTTTTATATATCTTAGAATATATTCCAGAGAAGCGTTTTTTTTTATCTTGGTACGTTATTATCATTATCAACGTCGTTTTATAAATTACCGACGATAAACCACGAGCCATTTCATTTGAACTTTACATCATACTCAAAATGATCGTAATAAATGAAGTGAAATTACACACACACACACACACATATATATATATATACACACACACACACAATGAAGCTATTAATGCGCAAAAGATTTGAACGAAGAATACAACCGATAGTTGTTGTTTCAATTATGTTTCAACATCAACGTCGATCGTGAGCTCATAATAATAATCGGTTCAACCGATGAGAAAATCATCGTAATTTTACTAAAAAAAAAGATTCTCATATAATAATTATAATCGTGTAATTTTATTGATTACCTCTTTGAGATCATTATATTTTTATTGATTACAATAAATGATAAATCATTGTTGTATTATAAATAGAATTATATTAAAAGTATTATACAACAGAAACAAATCTATAATTAAGGTTATTCTTTGAAAATTAATTCGATTGAGGAATAATGCTTAAATTTAGTGCCAATGATTACAATCGTTGACGATTTTTACTGTAAAAGATATGTCGGAGATAGAATCTTATTAGATGTAATCAATGAAATCATTTAAAATCGTGAAAATTATCATTTTTAATATTAAATGTTAATATAATGTAATATTTTTATTGTTAAATTATACACATATATATGTATATATGTCATTTTTGTAATATTTAATAATTCAACTTAGAAATTATTTTCCCTCTTTGCATCGAAATTCGATAATTATTTATTCAAAAATTAGTATCATTTGTAAAATTCTTTGTGTTTCTTTTAATAAGAACAAAATTTTCCTTTTTTTATACTCGTTTTAAATTCAAATAAAAATTTGTTATGAATTCATGAAAATTATATTTTCTTAAATATTAAATGCTAGAAATTTTTAATTTATACTTTCCTGTTTCATGTTCAAAAACAATGAATATGTTTATTTTTTAATTTTTGCGAAAGAAATATTATTTAAATTAATGTAACAAATGAATGATGAATTCGTTTGCAATCAAAAATTTATAATTTAATCGTCGAAAAAAGACAAGTATTATCATAATTTTTATTACTTATAATAATTTTTCAAAAAAAAAAGGTTTCATGCGCAATTGTGTTTTTTTTCTGTTTTGTCAGTTAACGCTGCCGCTCTTCGAGCTTTCGTTGATGTCTGTTTCAACCAATTCGTCGAACCTTTTTAAAATTATGCTATAAATACATAACGTTGAAAGCGTAAAAAATAAAATAATACATTTGTTCCATAGGAGAAAGTGAGCGAGAGAGAGAAAGAGAGAGAGAGAGAGAGAGAGAGAGAGAGAGAGAGAGAAAGAAGTGAAGGAAATGAATGAGAAATGGTAAATGAATTTCGCGTAATTTAATGTGTTAACGTTAAAACAAATTTTTTCCTATGAATGTAAGTCTTTTTAATAAAACCACTTTTTTGTACAGAAATATATTCTTAGCCAACCTTTTTTGATAAGATTTCTTTGAAATACTTAAAACGAAAAATTATTACTTATCGGAATTAAATGTGTAATAAATGATGAACGATTCAAAATGCTAATGAAATACGAAGAAATAAGAGACAAGCTTGTATTGTATTTATAATAGCTAATATACCTATATTAGGTATATCTATATATAATACCTATCTATTGTACCTTATTTTTTGTATTATTTATTTCTATGCTATATAGGAAACTGCGAAATCTACAGTATGTACATGCGAGAGTTTGGTTTTATGCAACGAATATCTCTTATTAATATTAAATCTTATACAAATAAGTAGTAGGATGTATGTCTACGAAGACATAAAGTTTATTAAAGTACCTGGATTAGAAAAAAAAAAATTAACTTTATTATATCTAATATTAACTAAAACTTTTAAATTCAAAATTTATTCGATTGAGAAAAGTTAACATAAGTCCCATAAGCATATATATTATATGCATTATGTTTTATAACTGGTGGTACAAACGAATAGGGAGTTAATTTTACGTGATAAACTAAGTCGATAATGTAGAATAAAATTTATTCATATTAGTTTCATCTCTAGTACCTGTGGATACTTCTCGTAATCGATTCTATTTTTACTCTTAAATCTTTACTCTGTTTTTAGTTTTTAGAGTTGTAAGCTCAGTCGAGTGCACGCATACTCGGAAAATGTTTAAACTTGTTTTTCTCGAAAACAATTTTTATTTTACATGTTTGACTTATTGTTAGTTTTTCACGTAGAATTTAATTTTTTGTTCATTTGTATCACCAATTATAGGACACCTCGTATGTTTTCTTTACTCTTACATTTGGCTATATCAGTCATAGTTACGCGATGATTCAACAAGATGGAAGTATCTAATTCTATTATATAAAGAACTAATTAAAATCCTACAAGAGCAATATTTACATTGTCGTTAAATCAACTAGATAAAATTTAATAAGATCTTAAATCAGAGAGAAAAAAAAGTTGATTTATGAGATATATCGAATTCTAGATGAGGATGGGGGGAGGAGGTAGGGATGATGTGTAAATCTTCTTACTCGTAATATTGTAATGTACAAATTCTTTTCCTTAAAATTATTAGCTTAGAAAAAGACAGTCTATGATTGGGGTTGCGTATTTATCTGAATCGTACGCAAACGTAACTTTGCAATTTTCTATTGCTTTTTTTTCTTTTTTTGGTTGTTCTTTGTTTATCCTGTTTTGTTTAATCTCTTCTTAACAACTTAATCGCTACGTAGGTACGTCAGTCTCATACAATCCCTTTCGAACTCTAAACTGGTATCAAAAAATATATATGTGTAATACCCTAAATTGAAAGTTCAATCATTTACAAAAATATGAAATGTGTGTGCGTGTGTGTGTGGGTGACGGTGGGTCGGTTGGGTGGTGAAGGGGGAGGGGGTGAAAGTGAATGCAGTTGAAAATTTACATCTGCCTAACATTTACACAATGTAAACGTTTGTTTTAATTCTATTTTTTCGTTTTCTCATTTTCTCCTCCTTTTGTTTCTGCTGCTCCTTCTTTTCTTCTGCTTCTTCTTCCATTCTGCTTCTTCTTCTCTTCCTTCTTTTCTTCTTGAACCATCGCGATCATCAACCCTCTACTATCGCCTGACTCTACTCGCCGGCACCTTTAGTGCCTGCAATTCATGTACGTGACCGTTTCGCCGTTTACGACGCGAACGTAACGAGTACAGGCTCGGATGAAAAGTGCAGGTAAGTGGTTGCCTGTAGAAAAAAAAAAAAAATAAAAGAAAAGTCCAATTACATTCGTAAATCGGAGGTAGCTTGGGAGAAGTGGTTTGATGTTTTTTGTATAAAGAAAAGAAGAGAGGAAGTTTATAAAAAGAAAAAAAAAGAAACAAAAAAAAAGAAAGAAAAAGGAAATGCATGTTTCGAACGAGCAGAGAACACGAAAACTTATATATATGTATATGCACGACATGCAGAAGAAAAAAAAATATCGAAAGGATCCTTTTTTTATTCTTTCAATCGATATCACAAATAAAAGGAGAGAGAGAGATAGAAAGAGAGAAACATGAATCAGAATAATTGACTAACCTAAGTTGTTATTGGCACACGTCGTTAATTATCGGATTAAAAAAAATCTTGCTTGCTAAAACCAAAAAAAAAAAAACAAAACAAAAATAGAAACGAAACAAAACCAAAAGAAAATAATAAATAAAAAAAGAAAAAAAAATTTTTTTCAATGCGGGAGTGTTAGTACTGTTAGGTCACACACTCACATGCCTTCTGAACGTCGTCGCCATTCGGACAAGACGGCTCCTGAATGTAAAGGGCCGGTTTGAGCGGTTTACCGTCCTGATCTTCCACCTGAATTACCAGACCGTAATTGCCCGTGTTAGCATATGGACTTCTTGGATCTACTCTCCAAAATTTAAGTCCCTGTCGTATGTCTAAGGCCAAATGAGTTCCTACGCTCGTTAATGGCGTCATCACAGAATCCATCAAACGTTTCCTTGCTACACAAAAAATTATTTAATAATAATATAATTTAATAATGTTCTAAAGTAGGGTGCCCGATAGATCTTATTTGAAATTTTGTTTTTTTGTTTGAATATAAAGATAAAGTAATATGTTGTGTCGTAGATTTTTATTACCTCGATGTTTTTTCAAGGCTCTCGTGTAATAATAGACCGATATTCTGATTCTCTTTTCATCTTCCTCATCTGGTATGTCCCCGTCGCTATCATTCGTTGACGACAACGTCAAATTTTCCTGCGGCAACTTGTAGATCCTCAATTTCGCAGCGATCACGTGCTCGTCCCACGTCAGATTTAATCGAAAGTGCATGTTCATTAAGAACGGGTCCGACCAAGCTTCCTCATCCGTATTACGCGGTAATCGACCTGTAACACGTTAACGAATTTTCCCATTAGTTTAACTCAAATATATATATTTATTCTCTTCGTTTCTTAGACGATTAAATCAATGATTAGATTACTTACAAGTAGGTGGAAACATAGTCAGTTTTTCACGTTGAACCGTATTCGCGTTCGAACTTAGATTGAATCTTCCCGTTAGTGCCAATACTCTTGATTTTATATCTTCGATCGCTTTCTGCCCTTGACTGTAAAAATAATTTTTATCGTTAATTTAAATTGCATTATTTTAATAATACCGAGAGAGGATGAGATTGAACAAAAATAATATGGCATGCTAAACGATTTTATTAACAGCAACAGCCACCAGCTAAACAAACTTACTAGGATCATTCGTAATGTTTAAATATTGTACACTACATATATAGTGTATCTGAATAAGTGCGAAATAATATCTTTAACATTTTTAATGAAACAAGTTCATACAAGAATAACTGGGTGTCACAGAAGTTGCTTGACCGAACTAAAAAATTAGAAATTTTTATCTGTCACGTATTTAGACTGAGTGCAATGTTTAAAATAATTTTATTTTCTTAAAAAATTTTAATTTATTATTGAACGAAGAATTTTCGATCCTGTACATAAATGCTCTGCGAAAAATTGATTTCAAATACACATAAATGAAAATCCATCGGATTTACTTGGGGCTTTACTTTACGAAACAATAAGATTCAATGTAAGATATAAAAAGAAACTCTCATTACGATTTTGAAACAAAATCAAATGTGGCATAAATAAATATAAATGTATTTTGTAATCTATAAAAGCATCATTTATTATCTAAGTATTATCAGTTCTCTATATTGATTAAAGATTACGTCGATAAACATTTTCTTTTACTAAAACTCAATAAAAAAAATATCTCTCGATTAGTATCATGAGAGAGAATGTCTATCGAAAGATATTAATGATTTAATTCTTGTCAATTAATTAATTAAAAAAAATTAGTAAAAAAATAATTTAAACACACAAGGAAGAACAAGATTCATATCGATGATAAAGATTTCTTTCTACTAGAATCAAATAAAAGTACATTTCTATTGGTATCTAAAAAGAAATATATTATATCTATCAAAGAGATACAAAAAAATTTCTTTTCAATTAATTAAAAGGAAAGAAAGCAAAAAAAAAAATACCCAAATATCTATACACGGACACGTGCACACGTAAGGAAAAAAAAACTTCGTTGAGGTCTCGTATTACGAATAATAATACCCTCACTCCTAATCCCTATAGATGATTTTTGAGCTCCGATTATGAAATAGCAATTATGTGCACGCCGAGCTATGAAAATCTTCACCTCGAGAGACTATTTACGAGGACTTCCGTGTGTGCTATGATGCGATAGGCAGGCAGGCAGGCAAGCAAGCAAGCAAGCAAGCAAGCAAGCAAGCAAGCAAGCAAGCAAGCAACCAAGCAGGCAAGCAAGCAAGCAACCAAGCAGGCAAGCAAGCAAGCAGGCAGGCAAACAGGCAACGATGGTCAGTGACCTAGAAAGAGGCTACAGGCTATGGGTCCGAGTCATTTATTATACGCTCTAGACAGCGGCTAGACGGACAGTGAAGATATCGGCACCCCGATCGGTTTTCTCTTTCTCTGTCTCTCTTTCTATCTCTCTTTCTCTCTGTCTTTTTTTTTCTTTCTCCTTTCTCTTTGAAACGTCTCTTGAGGTATACACGTGCGCATATCTTATGTGTATAGTAAGCGTGTTCTACAAGCGCGCGGTGATTCTGTATTAACGCTTGAACGTAACACATGAATGCAGTCGTTCCGAGGCCGCGCCTCGAATCTCCAAGGAGTCTCAGGACTCGTCTTGATTTGCATTCCACGTTCTTCTTCTTCTTCTTTTCCTTCTTTTCCTTTTTCTTCTTCTGCTTTTCCTTTTCCTTCTTCTTCTTCTGCTTTTTCTTTTCCTTCTTCTTCTGCTCCTTCTTTTTATTCCTCCTCTTATAGAAATTTTCTTTTAGATTTTTGACTTTTACAAAATAATTCATTGATTATTGTTGTGCTATAATTTTAAACGTTACGTTTAACGAGTTCAACGTGACTCATCATCGTTGTATCTTTCTGCATATACTTACTTGTCTTTTCGTTCTTTTTTTCTTTTCATTGCTTCTTTTTTTTACGAGCTCCGTAGGAAGAGAGATAGATTTTTATCTTTATTATGCTATGTGAGAAAAAAAAATAAATTAAGGAGAAGAAGAAGAAGACTGGTAGCTCCTCGGCATGTATTACTTTTTTTTTTTACAAGCATTTTTCTCTCGAGATAAGATTGCTACGAGAGAGAGAGAGAGAGAGAGAGAGAGAGAGAGAGAGAATGAGTGAGTGAAAGAGTATATTTAATAGGTGTGTATATGGGGTACACACAGAGACAGGTATTTTAGAAATGTACAGAGGAAACGTTACGATCGTTTTTTCTAAGGGTTAAACTCGAGCCGATGTTCGCGTCAACGACCTCCACCCGCGAGAAACACAAGAATTTTTCTTTCGCGGTGAAAGTGAGAGATCAAAAAATCTTATGTGTTTAATTTGTAAGAAGGAAAGTGTTGTTAGATTTGTAGTTTCTATTTTATTTTATTTTTCTCTCTCTTCTATTTTCCTTACTTCTTTTTTTCTTCTTCTAATTTTTCCTTTTTCTATTTTCAAAATATAAGGTCTACCGGAAAGTACTTTTTGATAATGTCATCCTCTTTTGTCTGCCCATAATGGATGTATGTATTTTTTGTATGTATGTATTTATATGTTTAAAATGTATTTTTATATATGTATTTAAAATGTTATTAATATATTAATCAATATATTTAATTTATATATATGTATTTTTGTACACATATGTGTTCTCAACCGATGTTTTTCAATATTCAATGAGATTCGTAATATTGTTAAAACATATCATTTTATTTTAATTAAAAAACGAACAGTAATTTTTCGGTATACTTAATATAAAAAAAAAAAAAAACAAGAGAAGGAGGAATAAAGAGTGTGTAAGCTGTAGTGTAGAAGAATGGAAAGTATTCTTAATCGTAATCGGGTTGAACCGAAGTGGGGAAGGGGAGGGGGGGGGAAGAAAAGAAGAGAAAAAAGGATTGCAAGAAATGTTAGGACGAAATGTTGGCTATCTCTTAGGTTTGATTCTAGGCATGCTCGTTGATCTAGCCGTGTCCAAGTCACGCATTCTACGCCGTCTCGTTGCGTACGTGCCTCGTCTGACTGCCGTCTGGTCTGGGAAAGAGGACTCGCGAGTAGAGTCAGTCTGGAGGCCGTCGTCGAACATGAGAACGGATCCGGTAGGATTACGAACATATACCGTAATTTCTATCTTTTCTTTTTGTTATTCTTTTTTTTTATTATTCTTATCTTTTTTTAATTTTTTAATTTTGTTTTCCTATTATAAGAGATCTAAATTAAAAACTTAGAAGTTGATATATAAAAAAATAAAAAAAGAAATAAACGAGAAAAGAATTATTAGAAAAGAAATTCAAGAGGCCAAAGAAATTAAATTAAAAGGCAAGAATTATAAAAGAATTATTAAAAAATCAACGAATAAAAAATAAAAAAACAACGAAATAAATTTCGTTCAAGAAAGGTAAGTAGCTGTTCACTTGTAAGCAACTTGAAAATCAGGAGCACACTCTGGGTAAAAGTAAAAGGTGGAAGAAGAAGAAGAACGAACGAACGAAATGAGTATTGGAACGAGTTATAATAGGTGGTGGTGCATCGAGAAAAGAAAGAAAAGTAAAAAAGAAATGTACAAGGAAAAGAAAGAAAAAAAATAAAAAGAAAAGGAAGAAGATGCAACATGCATCTCGCTCGTTGACGAGGGTTGGATGAAGTCACTCGAAACTTCCTTCTTTATCCTTATCTTTTTTTCTTTTTTTCTCTCTCTCTCTTTCTCTTTCTCTCTCTTGCTCTTTCATCCGTCTGCGTTCACGTAGGAAGAGAGACGCATAGACAAGGTCAGCGCATTAAATTGAAATGTGTTACATAACGTCGTAAGAGAACAGCCTAACTGCAGTCCGACTAGACACTCGGTTATTACGAGGGTGCTCAACTCGGCTGGGTAGACTGCGTTTAAGTATGCAAACGACGGTTCTCGATTACTATTATGACTGTCGCGAAAAAGAACAGACGCATAAATCGCAGCCTGAGACGTTAGTCCACCCTCTTCCTCCCTCCCTCCCACCCTCTATCTCTCTTTCTCTCTTCAACCCACCTACTTTCTCTCTTTCTTTCTTTCTTTCTTTCTTTCTTTCTTTCTTTCTTTCTTTCTTTCCATTCTTTCTTTCTTGCACGAGAAATTTTCGCCCTGTTGCGTTGTATTATGCATGCGTGTTTCTTTCATAAGAAATTGTATCTGTCATTTTTCTTTCTTAGAACAATCATTGACAACCGATGATAATTGGTCTTGATTGTTTTAGCTCGAATAAAATCTAACGTTCTGAATTCTACTTATATATACATGTATGCATTTATGTGTGTACGTCAGTCGTTTCTCTACGCACGCGTCTTTTTCTCTTGATGACACTAGTCATTGGGTATTACCATCCTGGTGATTATTGTTTTCTTTCTTTTTTTAAAACAAAATTATCTTCAATTACTTACAACGAAATGATAGTGACTAATATTTGAATAGAAAAACAAACTCTTATAATAGAATTCATGAGTTATTTATATTACGCATGGCAAAAAAGAATTAGGAAGTTAAAAGATAAAAATGAGAGTAAACTTTGATTTTTTTGTTCAAAATGAAAACTCCTAGACAACTACAAAATCAAGGTGTGCGGGTTGGATGACAAATTTCTTTTAATCTCACATAGAAAATATTTTTTTGCATGATCAATCATATTTTTATTTTAGACTTGTAAGATTTGAAGACTTTTGTGATAAGCGAATAGAGACATTTATTGTTAAATAATTTTAATTAACCAATCCTCGTGTATCATTTGCATAATTCAAAATACAGCGTTTCATTTTGATGATTTAAAGTAACTTTGATCCAAATCATGGTCAATGAAATGCAGATCATGTTTAGAAATGTTCCTATTTCTTGTATATAAAAGAGAGAAAAAGAGATAGAATGAGTGAAAGAGGCTACGCCAGTGCCGGCACGAATGCATTTACGCGTCTAGACTTAATAAAATAAAAGAAAGGTCTCTCGCGCGCTTATCCGACCGCGCGGGAGGAGGTCGGCCAAGAAGAAGGAAGACGATTTAAAAACGCAGCTAGACTCCGACATAGTTAGGGAAATTCCACCAGGCTTGTCCTTCCTTAAATTACCTAAATCTTTGCTCTCCCCCTTCTTCTACTTCTCTCTCTCTCTCTCCCTCTTTTATTCTCTCTTTCTTAGCCCTTTCATCCCTTGCTTTTTTCTCTCTCTCTTTCTCATTCATATTTATTCATTCTACTATTTATCATTTCGATGCAAATTATATATAAAAAAAACAAAAAGACAATAAAAATGTTAATATTTCGTACAATGTAGTCAATTGAACAACTACGACAATAACTTCGAACGAAATGAATAATTATTCAGGCTCGACTTTGAAGTATACGCGAAAAAAATATAAAACGAACTTAAAGTAAGGGTGAGAGAAGAAGAAGTCGAAGTAAGCATGAAATACGTACATGGACCGATTGAAGTTACGAGCAACCGGCTTGAATCGAGTCTTCGAACTAAATCTTCATTTTTTTCTTTTTTCATTTTTTTCTTTTTGGTTGGACGATTTCGAAACAATTTTTTTCATTATATGACTGGTTACGAACACCTGCCTGGTTTTCGTTGCAAGGGTTTTCTGGGTGTTTTTTTTTTCTTTTTGTTTTCTCTTACGAGTCACGTGTCGTGTCAACTTTCTTCCTTGTCCTTGTCTTTTTTTTTTACTGGAATCTATGTTGAATTATTATCAAATTATTATCATTTAATCATGTATATAAAAAAAAGGGTGTATTAAAAACAAAGTTTGCAATTCTTTGATTTGATTTATGACTCGTTAATTTATTTCCATTATATTATATATTAATTGTACTCACAAATTAAAATTAAAACTATAAATTGATTTAAATTGATCAAACTCTCCTACATTGTGCTGTTGCTTCCTTTCTAATATTATTAGAAAATTAAAAGAATGCGAAAAAAAAAGATTAAAGAGGAAGAAAATATCGAGAATGAAGGAAGGAGGGAAGCAAAGAAACGGGAATGGTTCCTAAATAGTTTCTTTTTCCTTTCTTTTTCTTTCATTTTAATTTCTTTTTTTTTAGTTTTTTAGTTTTTTTTCTTTTTGACGTTTTGCCGTTACATTCCATCGAGATATTTTTAAATGACGGGGGCAACGTTTCGAGTAGAACGTCGGGTTCGTAGTCGTTGTCTTCTGTTCTAAAAGTCCCGCGGATTCGTGATTGCGCGCGGGCGCTTACCGTGCTTGCTTCCGATTCGTTGTTTTAACGATCTATTGCGGCGTTTTCTCGTGCACACACGTGCGCGAATAAATATCGCACGCAGTAAAAGTCTTCCGAGTTTGAGTTGGTAATTGGATCGAAAACGATCGAAATAAATGTTGGTTATTCTTCGACCGAAGAAAGTTCAACGACATGTTTTTTTTTACCATTTTTCTTTCTTCACGCAAAATTTTGTTTATTAAAAAAAAAATAGAGGAAGAGAGAGTTTCTAGCGAATCCGATTTCGATTAGAACATTCGTCGACTGATCAAAGAAAAAAATTAAATACAAGGAAATCATATTTTTGGTTAGAAAGTCAACAAGGCTTGATAGAATTAAGACACACTCGAATAAAAATAACAAAAATAAAAGAACAATGTAAATAGAGAATGAAGAGAAGGATAAAAGGTAAGAGGAGAAAAAAAAAGAAAAAGAAAATTGCACACGATATCCCTTACCAACGCGGTTGATATTTTAGCCTCGATGGAGGCTTACCTGTCGAAGGTTGATGTTAGGTTTCCTCTAAAAGACGAAAAAGCAAACATTTCGTGAATATCCAATGTTGCGCTCGCAACATAGGAAAGCTTAGCACGTAATAGATGAACGATAATTATTATTCAAGTGATTTTGCGTAAGAAACAAATATCTACATAATATTATATCATTGACAAGATGAACCAATAGTCCTACAGACAAAAAGAAAGATTCTTATACGTACGCAAAGAAAAAAAAAGAAAAAAAGGAAGAAATATAACGAACAAATAGATTTCTAAAAAACTTACTCTTTTCGATGAGCTTGAAGCATTTGCTGATAAGACCCAAACGATTGATTCTCCACGGATGTTAAATTGGTATTAGCCATTACGAGTTTGATTGTTTCAGGATTGTCGTTTTGATATTCGGCGGTGTCGTTGTCGTTTTCCCTTTCGTTTTTTTTGCAATGGGTTGTATTTTGTGCGTAAAACGAAAGAATTTCGTCGTCATAATTCAACGACGATTCGTTGTCTTCCACGTTTTCATAATCTCCAAGATTATTCGCCAAGGATGGTATTACTCGATAAACGTCGTCTTCGACCCATTCCAAACCTTCGTATTCGCTAATACGTTTGACCGAAGATTTCGAAGCATCTGATCCCCCGTTGTCGATTTTGCCCGTTGTAGAATCTTCTTTTTTTAATTCCGAATCGTTTGTGACATTATCATCTACGTTGTCACTAGAATTTTTCGATAAATTAACATTATTTAGGTTGACAGAATCGTCCAAATGAGTTTCTAGAATCTCCACATTATTGGTCAAATCGCGTAATCGATCATCGATTATATGAAAATTCTTAGATATCACGGGTAAAGAAGTAGAGGAAGGAGGAGATAATGAAGAAAATGAAGAAGAACGAAGAGGAAGTGGAAGAGGAGGATCGGAGGTAAAAGGGGGAAAGGAATTAGCAGTATTTGTAAGTGAATCTTCTACTTTCGTATTGGAGAAGTCACGATTAGTCGGCTGTTTTTTTACTGCATTTGATTTTTCCTCGGAACTGGAAGAATCGAATTCGGAATCGTCGTAACGTATCTTGAATACCACGTGCGGTTCCATTGCCTTGTCAAAATGACGATGAAAATTGTCAGGAGAATTGTTCTTATCTTCGGTGTTCTTTTCCTTTGACATCTGGTCATTGTAATCGTTATCACCAGTATCATCGGATCGTGTCTGTTGAAGTTCCATTTCAGTAGGAAGATTTTCGTAATCAAGCAGAGCTTGTCTATTGAACGCATCAAAATCAAAATCCTCGTTGTCGGTAGATTTTTTTTCAAATTTTTCCCTCTTCTTCTTTTCGTAATGTTTACTCTTCGATTTTATTTTTTCCATCTGGATTATTTCCAAACGTTTTTTCTCTTCCTGTTTGGCTAGTTCGTTATTACGAATCGTTAGAATCTCTGTTAAAGAATAATTCAAACTTTTCAACAAATTCATATCGGCATTGGTAAGATCACCCATGATTATTTTTATTATAGCTTTTTCCAACATTTTCTCAAGCTTACGTTCGTTGAACGGTACGGAAACTTTAGCTTCTTCGGTTTTCATTATTTCTCTAGCCTTTTCACCGATACCGATTGATTCATCATCGTTATTCGTATATAAACGATTGGTAATTTGTTCATTGGAATGATCTTTACTATTGCTATTGATATTAGATGTATGACGACGAATATGATGATGTGGGTTCCTACGAGACAAACCACTAACAACGATATTCATCACCAAAAACAAAACGAATACCCACTTCGATATCATCTTGTCCAAATATTAACTGAATCTCTTGAATTATTTGCAAAATCTCAAATTAGATAGACGTAGTTGTACCCTATCTCGTCAACAACTCGGCAATGATTCAAAGAGCATCTTCTCTATTTATAATTTTCTCTCTTACTCTCTCTCTCTCTCTCTCTGATTACTCTTAAATTTAGAAGAGTATTCTTAATCGATCTCGATCGAGAAAGTGTGCGTAAGTGCATGCGCGTGTAGATTAAAAGCGCGCGCACGCGAGCGAGCTCGTACCGAGAACTTTGGGAGCACCAGGTGAAAGAGTAAAACACTCGTTGTTCTGGTACGCAAACGGTTAGCAAAACTGATGGTTGTACGATAGTAGTAGTAGAAGGTCCACAAGTTGACAATTCGAAGTCGCGTTGATTCTTTTTTTATTTTCACTCTTACTCTCGAACGTTAGCAAAGTTTCTAAGTCGCGTGAGAAAAAAAAAACAGAAAAGAAAAAAAAACAGAAAAAAAATTTAAAAACCAAACCCCAATTCAATGAAGGCAAATAGGCTCGTGATGTTCCTACGAGTTAGGGAATATTGCCAAAATGACTTTCTCTCTTTTTTTTCTTCTTATTCTTCTTCTTCTTCTTCTACCTTCTCTTTTACTATCCTTTTTCTATTTTCTCAGCAGAATGACTTATGTGCGTGTGCACTCGTCGAGCTGTAAAACTCGACTGAGACGTTGTGCCGCCTTCCTCACGGACATAATTCTGTCTACTCACTAATTCCGAGACAAGCACGAAGCCACGAGAGAGGAGACGGTGCCGGTGTTACTACGATAACTCCTCCTCCTCTCTCTCTCTCTCTCTCTTTCTCTCTCTTTCTTTCTCTCTCTCTCTCTCTCACTCTTTCTCTCTCTCTCTCTTTCTTCTTTCTTTCTTTCTTTCTGCTTCTCTTTCTCCCCTCTCTTTCACCAAAGTTTTTCTCCCTCTTGCGTTCTCGCCTCCACCCGGTGTCTTCTACGTAGAAGAGAGACCCTTTCGAACGTGTGTCGCCTCTTCCTCTTCTCCTTCTTCTTCTCCTTCTTCTTATTCTTATTTTTATTCTTCTTTCACCAAAATCTTTCTTCCACTTATTTCTTTACCTTCTCCCAATTCTTTTTTTTTATTTCGTGAAAAGGATCGAACGTAGACTACGGTAAGATTAACTTCGATTTCGAGTTTCTTTCGAATCATTCGAATCTCCTCCTCCTTCTCCTCCTTCTTCTCCTTCCGTTTATATCATCGAATTTTCTCATTGAAATTCGATATTTTTACGATCGTTGTTGCTCTTCTTCTTTTTTCTTTCTTTTTCCCTTTTTTATTTTATCTTTTTCTTTAACAATTCAAAGATATCGTTCGTGAGAACAAGGGTTGTTATATAAAAAGTATTAGAAGGGAATAAAAAAGAAAATAAAATAGAAGAAAAAGTGTGAAAAATGTGCGTGTGTCTGTGTGTTCTTTTTTTCGAGAAGCGAAAAGTTGCGTTGGCGTTCGTACAATGATTTCAGGGGCAGCCGACGTACGATTTTATAAGATGTCTCCCTCTCCGCTTCGTCTAGACGAATCGAAAGATATGATCTTTGAATCATAATGTATCGCTTTTAATAAATGCAGCCTCCGTGTGCGCGCGCGTGAAAATGCCATGCGCGCAAAGCGGCGCGCGCCCGTCCGAGAAACAAAGTGGGTCCTAAAAGAACAAGAAGAAAATGAAGAAGAAGAAGAAGTGGGGTGAGAGGATGAAGAAGGGTGGAGATTCAAATAAATCAACCGATTCCCCCATTAATAATAACGAGATTCTTTACTAAATTCCAATCTATTTTGGAGAATTAATTAATTTCTTTTATTTATTTCCATAATATCAATTTCACTGTCTGTTCTAATCACCTCATCATCGTATTAATTTTAAATTAATATTCTATCATTAGCACGTGTGTTATTCTCGCTGTTCTTTCGAATGGTAAATATGTTTTTTTTTTCTTTTTTTTGTTTTACGTTCACGATTAAGTTTTAAAGTAAATCTTAAAGATAGTAGCAAATTAATTTCCAATTAACATCGAAGAGATATTATTATTACTATTATTATTATTATTATTATTATTATTATTATTATTATTATTATTATTATGTCTTTTTTTTTCTTTTCAACCGGAAAACCTTGAAATATTGGAATGATCGTAGTAAAGGATTATTATTTTCCCTTCTCTTGTTTATCGTCTTGATTCGCAATGATACACCCTCGATTACCGAGAAACTTCTTGGAAAGTATGTATTACTTCAGACGTCCCTTCTTCTCTTGCCTGCCCCCTCCTCTCCCCTCCACACCATTCCTTTCTCCTTCTTCTTCTTCTTTTTCTTCTTCTTCCTCTTCCTCCTTATTCCCCCAGGTGTCAGTCATAATTTAAACAAGATTCTTTTCGCAGTCGTTGCAAGTTGGAACAGAAAAAGAGAGAAAGAGAAAGAGAATGAGAGAGAGGAAGAAAAAGGAGAAGAAGAAGAAGAAGAAGAAGAAGAAGCAGCAAGAACAAGGTACAAACGAACGTACAAACAAACGGTAGGAGAAATATATTTTTAGGATACTAGGAGGAGAGACGTTAAATTAGCGTGACGGCGTAAAACGTGAAAATTGGGTTAAAGAATTCGGTCCTCCAAAAGTGGTCCGCACCGTCTGGCCGGCCACCTAACGGTCGGCTAATACTAGCCTTTCGAAGGTCCGAACGGTTAAAATAAATCCTTCCTCTCGTCGACGTAGATCTCTTTCTCTTTTTATTTTTTTTTATTGTTCTTTTTTCTTGTTTTTGTCTTTTCATTTCATTCTCCTTCTTTTTCATTTTCTTTCTTGTCTGGATATATGCCGGAAGTGCGGCGTACCGCGTCTCGGATCTTTTCTAGACATTTTTTTTTTATCTTTTCTTCCTAGTCATCATCGTCGTTATTTTCTTCTTCTTCTTCTTTTACTTACACAAACTTCGATATTCTTCTTTATACCACATTCGAAGAAGGATCCGTCGTCGTATCGATCGGAACGTCGTAGTTCTCTAATACCAGAAGAAGAAGAAGAAGAAGAAGAAGAAGAAGAAGAAGAAGAAGAAGAAGAAGAAAAAGTAGAAGTAGGAGTAGAAGTAGAAGAAGAAGAAGAAACGAATTATTCGCCGAGCATGTCAGGGTCGAATTCGTGAGGTGGTAAACAAGTCGATCAGGAATGAGACGACGACAACGACGACAACGACGACGAGGACGACGAAGACGACGACGAAGACGTGTTTCACCACCCTTGTGTCACGTCCAGTTAGTCAAAGTTATCGGTAGCCATCTGACATAGGCGTATACTGACAAATACATATATATATATATAATATTACGCAATGAAAAATTGCGTAATCTGACAAAAAAAAGAAAGAAAAAAATGTATTAATTTTCTAAACAGGAGCATGAGAATTCTATGAAGATGAAGTATTCTTTTTTGCCCTCGGTCCTTTTTCATTTTTCTTCTTCTTCTTCTTTTTTACATTCAAACGAAAGAAAGAGTATATAATAATAATTGGTCATCATCAATCGATTCTTTCACGGTAAAAAGAAGGACGTAGGATGAACCGATCGTGAGGATTCTCTCACAAGGAAAGGCGGCGCCAATGGGCACGTGTGTGCTCCGAAGTGCATCCAGTTGCGTTGGATGCGTCGCACGCGCAACACGGAGGATGCTTCAGATGAGAGAAACAGTAAGAGAGAGAAAGATATAGAGATAGTGAGTGGGAAGGAGGAAGAGAGGAAGGGAGGGAGAAAGAAAAGAACGTGAGGAGGTTGGGAGTAGTAAAAGAAAGGGACAAAGAAAGGAAAAAGGAAGGAAGGGATAAAGAGACGGAAGGAGAAGGAGAGACAGGAACGAAAATGAAAGAAAGAGAGGAGTAATATCTAAGAGTGAGACCGAGAGGGAAAGAGGGACGAAGAAGAAGAAGAAGAAAAAAGGGGTAGAAGGGAGGGAATGCAATTTGATACGAAGCGAGTCCGCCGAATGTCCGCGCGCGGTGCAACGGTTGCTGACGTCAGCACCGAATCCTCCGTCGCGCGAGTCGGACGTACGGACAGACAATCTGGCGTCTAGACGTACCAAAATAAATAACGCACGGGGCCCGTCTCTCTCTCGGCTCGGCTCAGCTCGGCATCAAATTGTTGTTTGCACTCGTAACAGTCATCGTTCGTCGTCCTTGCCGGGGAGCCCTCTCTCGATGGGGACCTCCACGGAGGTCCTCCTCCACTCACAGAGATTCTCCCTCCCCTTCCACCCTTTTTGTGTTCTTTCTTTTTTTCTTCATTTTATTTTATTTTATTTTATTTATTCTCCTACTCGTAACACTCATGTCATGTGCTTGTATTGGTTTCTTGCTTGGCCGGCCCCGATGGTCATTATCGTTTTTTCGTCGGGGAGAGGAGAAAGTTTTTCCCCCTCTCTTTCACTCTTGTTCTTTTTTTATCACAGGTGAGAGATACACCACGCCGTAGCAAAATGATTCTTAGATGTCGTAGAGAGAACAAAATTTCCTAAACTCGAAAAAAATACGTTCTCCTTTGAAAAAACCGCCCACGCGTCGTCGCCCATTCTGTCGAACCAATCGAATCGGAATTGTAAAAGGAAAAAAAAAAGAAAAAAAAGAAAGAAGGGATTGGGAGAGAACAAAAGAGAAAGAGAGAGAGAGAGAGAGAGAGAGAGAAAGAGAGAGAGAGAGAGAGAGAGAGAGAGAGAGAGAGATGGATTCGAAAAAATGAAAAAAAAAAGGAATGAAACGATACCATTGCGGGGGTAAGAAGGACGAAAAGACGAGAGGAAAAAAAGAAAACGAATGGAAATGGGTGCAATTTGCATTGGAGTCGTCCACCCTCCTACGTTTGTTCGATGCAGACGGCAATCTCGATAAGGCCTCCTTGGAATCCGGCAGGAGCCTCTCTCTCTCTTTTTTTCTATTTCTTTCTTTTTCTCACTAGAGTCCAGGCCGATCTCTTCTTGGAATTGGGATTTGAATTTCGAACAGATTGCGCAATCGAAATCGCGCACCCACGCATAGATTCGATCGTTTCTTTCGTTGTTTTCTTTTTTTCTTTTTATTTTATTTTTTTTTTTTTGGTTTCTTTTTTTTGTCCCTTACTTTTCTTTTATTTATTCGACTATTTATTTTTCTGTGTCTTTTTTTTATAGTTTCTTATCTTCTCTCTTTTCTCTCTCTCTCTCTCTCTCTCTATCTTTAAGACCGATCGATGTTCCTTCCTTCTTGACGCGATACGCGATCTCTTTTTTTTATATCATTCTTTCGATCCACCCTTCCTCTATTCTTTTTTTATTGTTCTTCTTTTACGTCGTTTAGAATCCTCTCGGCTTCGTCGAAGTTCTTTTTTTTTCTCATCGATACCTAGTTTAGATTCGATCCATTTCTAAAGTTTTAATTTGCATGACCGATTTTCGATCGATTTTTGATAGTACGAACTACTTTTTTATTATTCGACATCAACACGGGGCTAACTCTTCATACGATTTTTCATCTTATTCTTTTTCGTTCACGTCTTTTTATTATTATAATTTCGTACTTTTGAATGTGTGTGTGTGTGTATGTATGTAGCTGCGTGCGACTAAAAAAAGAACAAGAAGAAACAAAAAGATAGGATCGTCCCTTCCTCATTTTTCGTGGAAGGAACGAGGAAATTTATGATAAAAAAGAAAAAAATGATTTATAAAATTATGTGAACCTTCGACGTCAACCGGTTCGATCAAGCTGGTTCATCAAGGTCCTACTGTATACTAAGTTATATATTATATATATTAAGCAAGTTAACTGTGATGGACGATCACACTCGTC